GGATGTCTTTCTTTCTACATCAAGTTCCCGTAGAGGCAACCGAGACCCCTACTGGTTGTTCCCTTTTACTACCTTGTAGTCACGGCAGTAAGGAACAATGTGGTTGGGGTCCCCACATTTGAGGCACTGGTCGACAACCTTTCTCTCCTGCCAAACTTTCTCTGTTATCCCCAATTGCTTCCAAGGCTCCCATTCGGGCAGACCTGGATGGGGTGGATATGGTTTACCTCTTCCGCCTCTTCCTCTTCCCCAGGTAGAATATGAACCTCGACCACCTTGCGAGGGACCATTGCCCCTTCCACCCACGTAGTAGCTTCCTTGGCCACCACCCCTCTGGGTACCGGGTCCTCTTCCACCGCGTCCACGGCCTCCTCTTCCTCGGCCGCGTCCTCTTCCTTGTCGCCCTCCCCCGCGGGCTGCAACGGCCGCGTAGCTCCCCTCCTGAGCTACCGAACCGCTGGGTCCTTCCTCAAGACCATAATCTATCTGGTCATAGGAAAGAGTTTCAACACCGCCTTCTTCAAAGGTCAGAAGGAGGTTGTCTTTCCTAGGTATATTCCCTGAGATTGTGCGGTTCTGCCATCTTTTCCCCGCCTGCAGATCTTTCCAATAACGACAGTAATTTGCTTCGGCTAGAAAGCCAGCATGATCTATCGCGATCTTCCTGAACTTCTCATAGGTCATTCCTTCCTCCTTTGTTCGAGGGTAGAGTTGAGTACGGAGAGGGTCAGGAAGTGCCCTTGCGAAATTATTAAGAATTTGTGCTGGGGTAAGTCCATGTTCAACAAATTGCAAAAGTCCGTCCATGGTTGCTTTAAGTGCGGATGCACTTTTCCATTTCCTGTCGGCTATATTTAGAATTAACATTTCAGTTCTTCTTGCCAAATTTTTATCTTCGAACCGCTCTCTGACGGCCTTAAAGAAGTCCTCAATTCTCGTTTGCTGAGAGTATTCAACCATTGGCAAATAGCTTCTTTTTGCAGTGAAATGGTGAAACTCATTGCATCTCCGGCCATACACGAATTGGCCATGAGAACTCGGTCCCAATACGGAATGCGCTGTCCGTAGACATATGACTCCACGGCTGCGATCCAGAGTAAGACACTTTCGTCCTTTTTCCCCGTGTACGCCCATGGGATTTTTACTTTGATCTTTCTGACTCCCCAGTTTCCTCCTGCTTCACTCCCTTTCCTTTCCTATCACCGTCTCCGCCATCTCCATCTCCGTCTCCTCCGCCTCCTCCTCCGCCGCCTAATATTTTCTTGGCTACGACGGGATCTGCCAATCTCTTGGCCAGCTGCTCATCTAGACTCTCTATACAAGTGACTATATGTTTGTCAATTTCTTGTGAGGATCTTTGCAAGAAATTGTTCCAGACCCCTTCAAACTCAAATTGGTGCTGTTCGAGGCTCTGGACATTTTTAGTTAATGCCGCCGGTTGTTGATTGGTATGGAGGAGTGTATCGGTAATGAGGGAAAGTCGATCGTCAATAGCAGGTTTTTGTTCTTGTGCCTTTTGTTCCTGCAATTGCCTATGAAGTCGCTCCCCTTCTTCCTTCAGGCTTTTCGTTTCGTCGAACTCGTCTTTTTGCGGCTACCCTTTTGTTTATAATTTCGCTTTCTTCTCTTGAATGAGAAACTCTTTTTCCGTAGGATCTTCTGTTGCAGCTAAGAGTTTCACAAACGCATTTTTATCCTCTTCTGACTCAACATACATGGGAGTCCGATTCCCATACTGATCAAGCCAGTTCATGTTCGTGGGCTGAAGGGTGATGCCACTTGGCCTGCTGGACTCCCCTCATTCGGTCTGACAACGATACAACCTCTCACCATTTTCCTCTTCTTCTTCTTCTTCTTCTTCCTCGTCAACGACTTTTAGCTCTTCCTGTAGTTTCCTTTCCTTTTCTTTCATTTCTTTCTCTAGCTTTTCTCTTTCTTCTTTCACTTTTTTTACCTCTTCTTCCTTTTGTTCCTTTTTCTGTTCTTTTTCCTTCTGCCTGCTCCGACGCCGGCAACCCCTGCTTAATTTTGCCTGATCTTGTTTCCATCATACGGGCGGTACACACTCTCCCGAAGCCCAGGGGAAAGAAAATTCGGAACAACGGGCCCAACAGAACAGAAAGGGCAATCAAGCCCTGCATCGGGAAGTCATCCACCATGGTGGAACTTAGCACAGGGAACCCTCCACTGGTCCCACCAGGTAAGCCTCCCAACTGTTATCCTTAGTAGGGATGGAATAAAACAACTTTGCTTTGTCTGTTGTTGTTTTTTTTTACCCCAAACTCTGGGTGTCGCTGCCTTAATAGGGACGGATTTCAGAACTTCCAATACTTTAATATACAATAAGACTTTTTTCTCTGCTGTCTGTTGTCAACTTAAATATTGAACTAATTAGAACAGATATCACACTTGATCTTGTCTGGTGATGAATGTTGTTCTTTCTTTTTTTCTTTTATCTTCTTTTCTAACCCTGTCTGTGTGTCCTTCTGCGCAGATAGAGCTGGAGTGGTACTCGATCAGATGGCTGGACCATACTTTGATCCCAACCTATCTCTACCCAGTTTAGTTATCCCTCATATCATGCTTGCACACTGACGTGGCAGACTGCCACCATCTCCCAGCATACTCTGCCCTTGACTACAGCGCAGACTTCAGACTAGCGAGTAGAAGATAGAAGGACTCTGATCATTTTTGACCCTGACGTGACCATCCAGACTACAGACCTCGTGACTCGATGGATAGCAGCAGCAACAACCCCAGAGAGGATGAGGAGTAGAGATGCACGAACACATGCAGCCAGGTAAGGGGTAAAGGGTGCTTTTCTCTTTTGCAGCGATCGTCGATGAAGACTCCTCCTCGCTCCGCACTCCATGCTCCAGGTAAGTATCACTTCTGCCCCTTCCTCTTCGGCCTACTCCTCTCCCATATCCCTATCCACTTCTTCTTCCACCATCGCCAGCATCATCAACAAGCCAGCGTTCTCTTCTCCTTCTCGCCGGCCTTACTCATACCAGCGCAGTGAGCACAACAAGTATCTGCTCCGATACCAGAATTGCAAGGAACCTGATTGTTCACAGCTTGCTCGAGAGCATCAAAC